ACTCTAATTTGTAACTGATTCATCACCCCACTCAGTTATGTACTGTCGTTATGAGCACGGCCGTCTTTAACACGGGGCAAATGGGGCAGCTGCCCCGGGCCAGTTACTCCTGGGGGGCCCAAAGCAGCTGCCCCGTGGCCCCGCCGCCCACATGAAAAAAAAATATTTCCCTAGTGGGTCCACAGTGTAAGGGGGTCTGGTCTGCGCTGTGGCCCTTTAACAGCACGACCGGGCCCCTTGCTTAACGGCTGCAAGGGAGGAAGTGACGTCCGTGAATCACTTCCTCCCACCTCAAAGACAGCGGGCCGCGCGGGAGGCTGAGCCAGGATCCTGTGAGGAGGGGGAGCAAGGAGAGCAAAGGTAGGAAACTGAAGACTGTGTGTGTGTGTGTGTCAGTATGTATGTCTGTATGTCTGTGTCAGTTTGTCTGTATGTGTGTCAGTATGTCCGTGTGTGTGTCAGTATGTCCGTGTGTGTGTCAGTATGTCTGTGTATGTCAGTATGTCTGTATGTGTGTCAGTATGTCTGTATGTGTGTCAGTATGTCTGTGTGTGTGTGTCAGTATGTCTGTATGTGTGTGTGTGTCAGTATGTCTGTGTGTGTGTGTGTCAGTATGTCTGTGTGTCAGTTTGTCTGTATGTGTGTCAGTATGTCTGTATGTGTGTCAGTATGTATGTGTGTCAGTTTGTCTGTATGTGTCAGTATGTCTGTATGTGTGTCAGTATGTCTGTATGTGTGTCAGTATGTCTGTGTGTGTCAGTATGTCTGTGTCAGTTTGTCTGTATGTGTGTCAGTATGTCCGTGTGTGTGTCAGTATGTCCGTGTGTGTGACAGTATGTCTGTGTGTGTGTCAGTATGTCTGTGTGTCAGTTTGTCTGTATGTGTGTCAGTATGTCTGTATGTGTGTCAGTATGTCTGTGTGTGTCAGTATGTCTGTGTGTCAGTTTGTCTGTATGTCAGTATGTCTGTATGTGTGTCAGTATGTCTGTGTGTCAGTTTGTCTGTATGTGTGTCAGTATGTCTGTGTGTGTGTGTCAGTATGTCTGTGTGTTGTGTCAGTTTGTCTGTATGTGTGTCAGTGTATGTCTGTATGTGTGTCAGTATGTCTGTGTGTGGTATGTGTCTGTGTGTCAGTTTGTCTGTATGTGTCAGTGTATGTCTGTATGTGTGTCAGTATGTCTGTGTTATTGTTGTCGGTATGTCTGTGTGTCAGTTGGTTGTCTGTATGTGTGTCAGTATGTCTGTATGTGTGTCAGTATGTCTGTGTGTCAGTTTGTCTGTATGTGTGTCAGTATGTCTGTATGTGTCGGTATGTCGGTATGTCTGTATGTGTGTCAGTATGTCTGTATGTGTCAGTATGTCTGTATGTGTCAGTATGTCTGTGTGTGTATCAGTATGTCTGTATGTGTGTCAGTATGTCTGTATGTGTGTCAGTATGTCTGTATGTCTGTGTGTGTGTCAGTATGTCTGTGTGTCAGTTTGTCTGTATGTGTGTCAGTATGTCTCTGTGTGTGTCAGTATATCTGTGTGTCAGTATGTCTCTGTGTGTGTCAGTATATCTGTGTGTGTGTCAGTATGTCTGTGTGTCAGTATGTCTGTATGTGTGTCAGTATGTCTGTATGTGCGTCAGTATGTCTGTGTGTGTGTCAGTATGTCTGTGTCAGTTTGTCAGTATGTCTGTGTCAGTTTGTCTGTATGTGTGTCAGTATGTCTGTGTCAGTTTGTCTGTATGTGTGTCAGTATGTCTGTGTGTGTCATTATGTATGTGTGTGTGTCATTATGTATGTGTGTGTGTCATTATGTCTGTGTGTGTGTCAGTATGTCTGTGTGCCAGTATGTCTGTGTGCCAGTATGTCTGTGTGCCAGTATGTATGTCTGTGTGTGTGTCAGTATGTATGCCTGTGTCAGTATGTCTGTCACAGTGTGTCTGTGTGTGTCAGTATATCTGCTTGTGTGTGCATGTCAGTGTGTGTATCTGTATGTTGTCAGTGTGTGTGTCAGTTTGTGTGTGTGTGGCAGTGTGTGTATCTGTATGTTGTCAATATGTATGTATCTGTGTATATGCCAGTGTGTATACCTGTGCATGTATCTGTATGTAGCCAATGTGTGTATCTGCATGTGTGTCAGTGTTTGTATCTGCATTTGTCAGGTTATATATCTGTGTGTCTGTATGTTGTCATTGTGTGTCTGTGTATCTGTATATTGTCAGTGTATCTGCATGTGTGTCAGGTTCTGTGTCTGTATGTGTGTGTGTCAGTGTGTGTAAATGTGTCTGTATGGCTGCATCTGTACGATTGATAATATCTGTGTATCTGCAAGTGTTTCTCTGTGTGTGTGTGTGTGTATGTGTATCACAGTGTGTGTGTGTGTGTGTTTGTGGCAGTGCAGGTGTATATGTGCATACATCTTAGCATTCAACGCCAACACTACACACAAATACACACCTGCATTCAAACTTCAACACTACATATAAACACACCTCTTTTTTTAAACAACAAAATTATATATAAACACACCAGTGCATTCATAAACCAAGACTACACATAAATGCATGCTTGTATTCAAATGCCATCTCCACATACAAACACACCCCGACATTCACACAAACATACTCCATACAAAAACATGCTTACACTCAAACACACAAATACTGCTCAGTGCTAAATACAATCCTGCATGCATGGGAAAATGGTAGAGCCCCAGCTGTCAAAGCATTGTTGGAGTTACACGACAGATGGGGATCTACCTTTTGCCCCCTCTTACGGAAAATAATTAATGCACCAGAGCCCTTGCTACTTTACGTCCGCCTCTGCGTTGGGGTAGGGGGCTTGATTGCATGCCAGGGAGGGGACGACAGGGTCCAGGGGCCCAAGCCAATGTATGTCACCTATTCCATCCCCTTGTCCGGCCGGCCGGTTCCCCCGGGAAGAGACAGCGAGGGGGAGGGAGAGCGGAGGAGGAGAAGGGGAGGAAACACCGGGAAGAGGTAGGGGAGTTGAGCGAGCGCTCGGCCTTTGCTGCCCCAGGGACCCCGCGCCCCGGCCCCATCCGTCTCCGCCAGCCACTTCGTCCAGTGGTACCAGGTCTGATGGTACTGTTGGGCCTTGTCCGCCTCCATGAGGATAAGTTCCTCAATCTCCCGTATGTATTCCTCCCTTCGGATCCAATCTCTAATCCAGGGGATTGTCTTTTTCCAGTGGTTGGGTATGAGGCTACGCGCTGCGTTAATCAGGTGTGGTAACACCGTTTTTTTATATTGCGTGGGTGGCATTGTCGTGACGTGTAGGAGATATGCTTCGGGGGTGAATTCTATGTTAGCGTCTGTTATCTTGGTGATAGATCCGTGGATCCGTTCCCAGAAGGCCTTGATGTTGTAGCATTTCCACCATATGTGCAATTGCGTGCCGAGCTACCTTCCACATCTCCAGCATTCTGGGTTGCACTGGCAGCCTGCGGCGGAGAGCTTCTCGGGGGTCTTGTACCAGTGGGTTATCAGTTTGTATCCTGATTCCTGGTATTTTGTGCTGATCGAAGATTTATGTGTGTTCACGAATACGTTTAGCCATTGGTCTTCCGTCAGTGAGAATCCCAGGTCTCTCTCCAAATATCTAGAGTAGTATGGTAGTTGGTTACCGTTTCTGGCTGGGAGGATCATTTGATATAGTATTGAGATGCAGTGTGCCGGGAGGGCATCTTGGTCGCACAATGTTTCGTAAGCCGTCAGTTGCCTGTTTGCTGATTCTAGGTTTGAGATGGATTTGACGTATCTCAGCAGTTGGTGGTATCTGAACTGGGTCAGGAAACTCAAGGGGTCCGGGGCTGGTAGGCCCGCAAGGGGCATCGGTCTCCCTTCTGTGCTTATGTGTTGTAGTCTGCACTGCTTTGGCAGGCCCAGGGCGGTCAGGAACTGCGGTGAGGCTCCCGGCTGAAATAGCAGGTTTCCTGCTATAGGGTGCAAGGGGGACACCGTTGGCGCCAGGTTCCCCCTCTGGGCCAGCGTCCTCCATATTGACGCTGGCAGGATATTTATTCTTCTTAACCATGTGATGTGTGGGAGCGACCAGTGTTGGAGGTCCTTTTGAATTCATCCCAAGAGTGGAGCGAAGTTGAGCCAAAACAACTCGGTCAGCTTTGCCGGTATCCACACTCCTAGGTATCCTAGGGCCTCTTTGCACCAGTGGAGGGGGAATGCGGTATGGATCATCTGTACTGTGTGTGGGTTGCATCCTATGTTGAGGATTTCTGATTTTCTGTAGTTTATTTTCAGGTTAGAGAGGAGGTAATATGCTTCGAATTCTTTCATAATCTCTTGTAGAAATGTCTGTGGATTTGTGACTGTGAAGAGAAGAATCGGCATATGCAGAGATTTTGCTTTCTCCCCATGCCCCTCTTATTCCCCGCACTCCGGTGTTTTCTCGTATTGCGTTGAGGAACGGTTCCAGGCTGATAACAAAGAGTAGAGGCGACAGGGGGCACCCATGTCGGGTCCCGTTTTGTATGTCAAATGGTTGGGACAGGATTCCGTTCACTTGAACTCGTGCCGCCGGTTTGCATTAGAGGGCCTGGATCCATGACATCATGTGGGGTCCGAAGCCCACCTGCCTTAGTGTCATCATGAGGAAGGACCAATCTACCCTGTCGAACGCCTTTTCCGCGTCAGTCGATATCAGCAGTGACGGGGATGCTTGTTTCTGGGCCGCGTGTATCAAATTGATCACCTTCACTGTGTTGTCACGGGCCTCATGGCCCCGCACGAATCCCAACTGGTCAGGGTGTATCAGCCCCGGTAAGAAGGGCTGGATGCGGAGAGCTAGGATATTCCTGAAGAGTTTCAGGTCGGCGTTCAACAGGGAGATTGGTCTGTAGCTGGTGCATTCCGTTGTGTCCTTCCCCTCCTTTGGCAACACCACCACATGTGCCATGAGCATGTTTGGTTCCAGCTCACCCCCCATTCTGATCGAGTTGAGGGCCACTACCAGGTGTGGCGCCAGAACTTACGCTTATTTCCGATAGTATTGAGTGGTGTACTCGTTCAGTCCCGGGATTTTCCCCGTTTTGGCCAGCTTCACCGCCATGAGCAGATCCTCTGTACTGATGGGTTCCTCCTCTGTGCTCAGTTTGGAGTTGGTGTGGCAGGTCACGTATTCCAGGCGTCTTTCCTGTAAGGTTGAGGCTTCTCCGTCTGTCCGTCCTCTGCCGGGTGGTAACTGATATAGTGCTGCGTAATACGCCCGAAAGGCTTCTACGATTGTCTTGGGGGTCTGATAGCACTCACTCCCGAGGCTGATTGCTTGTACAAAGCTTTTCTGTCGTTCGGTGCGCAAGGCTCTTGCGAGCATTTTGCCACATTTGTTGAACGATTTTCTTGTGAGCTTAAATTGGAATTGAATTTTAGCCGTGAGACTTGATTGTAGTTTCGCTCTAACTGCCGTCAATCGTTTATATGTGTCTTTGTCTAATGCAGCTTTCTTTTCCGATTCCATTTCCACTACTTGAGCTATTAGGTCTGAGATCTCCTGTGTGTGGAGCTTTTTTTGGTGTGCGCCGTGTTTGATCAGGAGTCCCCGGATCGTGCATTAATGGGACTCCCATACTATGGATGGGTTGGAGTCAGGAGTGGCATTCGTTTGAAAGAATTGTTCCAGATTCTTAAGGATATCTGTGTGGATTGTTGGGTTTAGTAGCGCTTCGTTCAATCTCCAAATCCATTGCTTTTGGGTGGGTCCCGGGTGTTTGATGGATATGATCACCGGTGCATGGTGTACTAAGAGGAGATTGTCCAGTGTTCGCTGTTGCAGGAAGAAGTAGTCCAGTCGGGAATAGGATTTGTGTGCTGTCGAATAGTAGGTGAAGTCTCTAGTATTGTGGTTTAGGGGGCACCAGCCGTCCATGAGTAAGTGCTTTGGTGCCTCAAATGATGTGGTCTGGGAGTGTCATAGTTCCGGAAGATGTGTCTATCTTCGGGTCCATTGGGACATTTAAATCGCCCCCCAACACGATCGTGCCCTCTCCGAACCTTTCTAGGGCTTCAAGTGTGGTTTTTAGGAAGGTTTTCTGTCCTTTGTTCGGTAGGTATATATATATATGGTAGGTAAAGTAAATTTTGCTTGGTGTATCGTACCCCTCAGGAAGCGATATCTTCCTTGTCCGTCCAATTGCTCTGCCTCCTTCCGGAAGGGAACGTCCGTTGAAAATAGGATTGCCACTCCTTTGGTTTTGCGGGGTATTTGCAAAGAATCCGAGGGTGAATTTAAGTTCGGAATCTTGACTTAAAAATTTATCTCATTTGAGCAGGGTCCCCGAAAAGCTCTTGCTCCTGTCTTTAATGGTCTGTCCTATATCCTCAAATTGTTATACTTATTATTATTATTATTTAAAAAGCACCAACAAATTCTGGAGCACTGTACAATGAGTGGACTAAAAGACACGTAATTGTAACCAGACAAATGGACGCACAGGAACAGAGGGGTTTAGGGCCCTGCTCAATGAGCTTACATGCTAGAGGGAGTGGGATATAGTGACACAAAAGGTAAGGGTAGGGTAGAAAGGTAGGTTGCTAGGATAGTATTCACGGAAGACTACATGTTTTTTATTTGTATTTTTTATGTCCGTTGCAAGAGAGGAATCAAGGTGTGGGGAGGGAAAGCTATTAACAGTTTAATTGATATGCTTTCCTGAAGAAGTGAGTTTGTTATGATTTTTTGAAGGAATGGAGACCGTAATAACAATATTAATAAAAACATTATACTTGCCTGAAAGGACAGCAAAGCAATTATAGCGGAGTTTCTAAAGTCATGTCATGAAAGGTATGAGTTGTTCTGTAATGATGTGGATACCACTGTTACTCCATCCAATAGCCCAGTGTCATTAGAGTTGGTTTACGGCCTTCCAACACTGGGAGAGGGCAAGTCCGTGTGGCATGTATGGCTGATTGGAAACCATGATGGGTAGCCCATGCGTAGAGCACCGTTGAACTTTCTTTCGTATGGGCTGAAAGCCTCGAGTTCAGTAGAACAGTGTGAGAATGTCTTTTTTTTTTATATTTATCATATTTTTGTTGAGCTTTCAGGAATATGAGTATACAAGTAAAATATGTCAGAGGCAATTAACTCTTTTATTTGTTTTTTTTACTGTATGTATTGAGACTGATGTGTACTATGGTCATTGCTGCCGCCCAATAACAGGAGTTATTTTTGTGTATTTGTATTTGCCTTATATCACACAGCCATGTTACAATGCTGCAGTCCACCCCACGTGTTCCCTATTAAGGGTTAATAAGTATAGGGGGTTTTGAAAAATACCCCTCTCTTTCTCATTAGAGATTTTTTTTACCCAAAGCTGAAGGAATCAAGGTGAAATGTTAGTGTAGACTCCCTTAAGAGATTTGCCTTGATGTGACAGGTGGGCATACAATCTAATGGCCATTGGAGTGGTACTAAAAGCCTCCAGATAATTGTAGATTATACTAGCTTTAGTGTAACTATAATCTTAATTTTATTAATGACAGGAGGCGAATATTTGCTTAAGTCTCTCTTTACCAGAACTCCACATCAGCACATTAACAGAGATAAAAACACCAGAGACAAAAAAAAAAAAAAAAAATCAGAAATCTATAAAAGGCTTCTCCCAACTAACTATTTCCTCTTTCACGCTGCGACAAATAAAGTACATGAACAATACAGCACAAATACAATAAAAGGAGAAACAAAACATAACGATAAATTCCATCCGAAATTGAAACCGTGGAACCAGTGGGTGAAGCCTTGACATTTATCCTGTAGAGTAGTCGGATCTAAGAACTGTAGCCAAACCATTAAACTGAAACGAGATAAACCGAGTCGAAAACACTGATTAGCGAATGAAGTGCACTGAGAAAACATGAATCCCCATCGTAAAGACTGACAGTATAATATCCCAGATAGTGAAAAAACCTAAATCCCCATCATAAAATACTGACGGTACCATATCCCAGATAAATCCCAACTCCCCCAGATAACCAACCTAGCCCAGGAGACCAGGTGAATAAACAACAAGTCAGTCAAACCAACAAACAACAAGGGAAGGGAGAAACTGGGAGGGAAATATTTGCCTCCTGTCATTAATAAAATTAAGATTATAGTTACACTAAAGCTAGTATAATCTACAATTTTATAGCATGACAGGAGGCTTCATATTTGCTGTTTTAAACGCTCGGACAGCAAAGACCAAAGAAACACGATCCGCTGTACCAACCTAAACTCTGCGAAGATAGCTCCTCGTAACAGGCAGGAAAGCGTACGATGTCTTGGAGAAAAACGCCCGCCATGTCGGTACCTGAAATCACCGTGTTACGGACTGAAGTGAACCGAAAAAACCTATATGCCCCGCCAATGCCAACCACAACCAAGCGGTACATGAAGGGTGAGAAAAAGGGAAAAACCATTTAAACAAACGGTGACGTCGAACACCGCCTAAAGGTGGGAGCACTACCAAAGTAAGAATATGACCCTCAGATCTGACTAAGGCTGATAGACAACTAAGGTTTGAACCGCCGAACCCATCTGAAAGAAAAACAAGGTATAATAACGGAAAGAACTCCAGAATCAGTGAATGGACAAAACCCGACAGAACCCACCGTAGGAGCATGACAAAAACGCATGTACCCCCTGGGGAGATGAATACCCATCCTCAGGAATTGTAAAGGGAATTCTAAGCAGAGTGAGGCCCGCCGACAACAGTCGTACGCGCTATCTAATCTAATTAATATGGCAGTCCTCGGTAATAAAGTGACCAAACAATACCCTGTAAAAGCGGTAGCAAAATTAGGAGATCTGTACCAGACCCAACTACGTCAGGGTCGCCATGCAGACCAAAGTCTCACAATCCCGAGATCAAATGAGCAAGGGTCCAGGGAATCCATGAACTAGGTTAGACTCTGCCGAAGCGGAGATCATAATTCCAAAATACCAGCAAACCGAGGCACCTGTAGAAAGGTCCTGAGACCAAACAAACGGAGGAGACTCGTCCGTGTCTCCGTGTCGGACACTCCTGGAAGGAAGCGTCCATTGCTGAGCAAACGGGTCCGTCATCCAGCCTAACTGGTCGGGGCCTGATGGTTCCTCCTACTTGGACTAAAGTCTTGACGCCGGGTCGTCCCAGAGAAACTATTCCATACGTACGAGAACTCGGGCAGAGTAGAGTGTAGGAGGCACCCCCTTGCATCCAAACTGCCCTCCAGGACTCTACTCCTTGAGATGTAGAGGAGGTCGATATTTCCCTGGTTGAAAACGAAATCCAGGGACTCGAACAAGGGAAAACACAGGGAGCGTCTGACCTTTCGGTCTGGGAGGTACCTCGCAGGGGGTCCAGCAAGCCCGTCCAGGTAGACCGTACAGCAAGATGTCCTATATCGATGAAGAGCCGCATCCGGATCCCAACGCGTGGAAAACGAGAAAGATCTCTTCAAATAGTTCTGGAATTCCTAAATGTCCTCAATTCCTCCCAACTTGCCAACCAGGTTGTATTGTCGCCCAAATGACTGATGCACAAGATACCTATCTCACCAGGGAGAAAATAGAGGCCGCCTTACCAGAACTGGGCCCAGCGGTCCCTAGAAGTTTCTTGAGGGCCGCGTCTAATTCAAAGTAACCAATGAATATACGTTCAATCGTAGACTCGTGCTGAGACTCCGAGGGGCTCAGATCCCTTTATCCCAAGCACCTCCAGCGGACCAAACTGCGTTTAGGATAGGGTCGTCTGTCACCCCAGACTCGGGGCCCCGTCTGGGATGTTAACCCGAAAGTGGAGGCAAGTGTGGAATTCCGGGTCAAGGGTCCAATCCCCTATAAAAGGTACGGGTTGGAACTGAGATAAGCCTCCATCAAGTATTTCCATGTAAAAAAGGACACATATTATACTTCCTCGTATGTTCCGCTAGCACAACTCATGTAGCGGAAAACAATCGGCTTGCCAGTGCTGACTTAATAGTATAGGCACTGCAGTGGGCCGCACTCAGGATCTCCTGAATACTAGACAGGTGCTTAACCAGCAAAACCGCAGTGCCCCATCGGGGTCCAAGTCTGGGTTTGCGGCTACTTACTTCGGGAGCCTGGCTGGGAATACTGCTCAAATTATCCTGCGGGCTTCTCAAGCCAGCAGTCTACAGGCCCAGAAATGCACCAATGGTGCTAGGTGATCGGGCAGAGACCATTCCAAAGAAACCAGGTGAGCAATGGATCGAGGGTCGAACAGGGGTTCGTTTAAGGCGATCCACAAGGCGACCTCTTCTTCTACGGTCGTCAGGGCCCCTGTAGTGGACTTTGTTCTACATCTCATGGTGCCACAACCCCATCGTCCTCACTTTCCGAGGGGAACCGGTCCGCCCGCCAGCTAGGGCGGCTATGGTGGAAGGGGGGAGTTACGGGGACATAACACTTTAGTTACACTTCTGTGTAACTGTAATTAACACACTTCTGTGTAACTGTACGTAACCTTCTTCTGTGTA